GACATCACATTTCACAAGACCACCCAGATTTGCACAAAAACACAGCTCTTGATTTGTACATTTCCAACTCAACCATTTCTCTTTCTGCAGGATCTGCACATAAAAAGCTGAAAAAATGCCACTTTAGCACAGTTCTCTGTACAGAAAAGTGCTGACCTTAAGGGGGAAGCATGGTCTGGAATTAAAATAAATTAGAGCACTGTGGGCTGGTGGCACCCCATTGGCGCTTGAAGAATGCAAACTGATTATTTGCTTGCCTGTAGAATTTGAAATATATTTATGAATTTAGCTGGTTTTAATGTTGTCATAACAGTGCCAGCGTGTGATGAAGCTCAATGTCAAGCACTGTGACCTGCTCCTTGAGCTGATGCTTGTTGGTGGCATTGATTGACACTGTGGTGACTTGGTTTCTGCAGAGCAGGGGGTTGAAGTTGTCAAGATGGTGGTGGATGGTGATGATCTCTGCCTGAAGCTGAGTTGCTTGTGCCGCCACTGCAGCTGTGGCAGCTGTGGTGGTGTGATGGAGTGTGTCCATTTGCTTGAGGCACTGATTGAAGCTGAGTGATGCTGGTAGAGTGATGGACAGAGGAGAGGATGTTGACAAAGGTGGTTGGTGCTGTTTGTGGAAATGCACTAGCATGTTGCTGCATGTTGAGTAGTCCCTCCTGCATCCTGTAGCAGTGCAGAGGAAGTGAAGTGGAGGGGTTGATGGGGGCTGTGATGGCGTAGATGAAGATGATGAAGATGATTGTGAGGGTGAAGAGTTGGGTAGGAGCAGAGGAAAAGGGAGAGTAGTGCTGTCTGCTTTGTCAGTCTCCTTCTCCTTACCTTTTGCTTGTTTTGATGGTGGTGCTTGGTCACTTGGGCACTGACGTTTTGTGCCTCTCTGCTCAGTTGGTTCAATGTCCTGCATTGTGTGAGAGGCAAGTGAGCAGATGAAGAATAAGTGTGATGGGTGAGGTACCATTGCACCATGGCCATTTACATGATCACAAACTCACTGTAGCAAACCAGCCCAGTTGAGTTTGCTCATGGGTAGCTTGTATTTCCTCATGTATACCTTCAAATGCTGGATCATCACTGTAGACAAACATAGAACACATGTGAGCAACAGAAGAAACCCACAAACGCACAGAGCAAATCAATGGTGTGAGGGTATTTACATACACTCACCAACTTGGTGGGCTTTCACTTTGTGCTTGACCCAATTGGCTGACACAGGCTTGTACATGATCTTCTTTGTGTTTAAGATTTGGTGGCGTGCTGAGACACATATGGCTTAGTGAGGGTGAAGTACATCACTGATGAATGAGAACAAGGAGGTTGCACCTGTTTCAGCAACAGCAGAGTGCTTGAGCTGCTTCTGGTGTGCACATGCATAACAGGAGTTCTTGAGGTTGTCACACTTCTCACACTGCCACAATACACACCCAGCAAGCTTTGAGAAAGTCTGAGACCTTGAAGCCCAAGTGTTCAAAGACTTGAAGAAGAACGTTCCTCCCTGCAGATGTGCCAGAAAGGAGAGGGATCAGTATGGAGCTGCAGTGTGAGAGGAGCACACAAACCTTCATTCCGCTCAAGCAGTCCAAGGTCAAGGAGTGGTCCATACATCACTGTCCAGTTTTGCTCCTTGTCAACATGCTTATGGACAGTGCCATTAAAGCCGTGGAGGTACTGTTTGTGGTCCTTAAGGTAACCCTTGATGAAGGTCTTGAGTGCCTTGATGGCCTCAGGGTGCTCCAGATGGTTGAGGTCTGGGGTTGACTTGGCTGGCCAATCTTTCTGGTGGCAACAAAGACCATGATCCTGATCAGTGACATGTGGCACAAAGCTGTGCATGTGGCTGCAGAAGCCATTGGCATTCCTTGTGTGCATCTTGACGCCTGCAAGAAGATGGATATACACATTGTTAGTGATGGTCAGTGGTAGGTATATGTGAAAGGAGGGCATGTGAACTGATCAGAAAATGGGACTTGATTTTCTTCTTGATGGTAGCAAGGCTTGGGTGTTGCTCAACCAGGGGTTTGAAGCTCTTTTCCAGCCCTTTTGTGTAATGATTGGGGTCTTGATGGCTTACAACATCATCACCAAAGATCTGCTTGACAAGAGAATGTACAGCTGCATCCCCATCAGCAGTGACAGAGGCCATGTTCACACCACTCTCCTGTGGGCACACAGGCGAAAAAGGTGAGACATGCACATGATCATCAAGAGAGGGAAGGAAACTACCTTGATGATGGTGAGAGCCTGTTCTGTACCATCACCTTCAGCTGTGCTAGATGTGCCAGTGTAGGTGCGCAGCTCATGTTGAGGAGCCCCTGATGCAGTGTCCTTGAGGATGTGGTGTCATGAAACAATCCCCCCTTCACAGTTGCCTGCCAAAGAACACTGGAATGGTGGGCAAAACAGACACAAGCATAGGCCACATCCACTCAGTAGTGGTGGGGGGCTTGTACCAGCATTGGCATTGCAGACAATGGTTGTGATCTCATTGGCACAATGATTGCATGATGAGTAACATGTGTCTATGGACAAGTTGCTGCTGTCTGGACTGTGCTGCATTTTGTGCATCTCTTGACTGCATGAGGCATCCATGAGGATGGACAATGCAGGAGCTACCTGTGATTGGCACAGGATGGATGGTCAATGTGGGCCTCATCAAAGATTATTGTGTTAAGATTAAAAAACAAAATGAGAAAGGGGCATATGTGATCATGCATCATTATGGTGTAGCAGCCCTTGCTGATGGGCTGGACGCCACCAGCCAGTGTGAACAGCAACTTGAGCACCTCAAAACCCAAGCCATGAATGGCCCACACAACAACAAATCAAGAGGCCACATCACAATGATGCATGTTGGAGTTGAGTGGGGACACACTGCTGAACTTGAGTGAGAATTTGCAGTGTTCCTTTTGTGAGCAGTGTATTGTTGGAGGAGAGCAACTTCAGCATCTCTTCGCCTGACGCAGTGCTGCCCATCATCTCTTCCACTTCTTTGCCTTGGCCTTCTTCTTCTCCTCTTGCTCTCTCAGTTGCCTCTCCTCTTCTTCCTGGATTGCTTTTTGTTGTTGGTTCTGTTCCTCCTGTCTATGGCACTCTTCCTCCTCCACCACCCTCTTCTCTGCCGCTCTCCAGACCCTCCTCCTCTCGTTGTATCTTATTTGGATTGCCTTCTTCTTTACTCTCAACTCCTCTGGATCAACAAAGGACCACTTGGTCAGCCATGCCTCCTCCTCCTCCACCAGCATTGTTGGTCTTCCTGGCATCTTAGTACGCCAAACCCCTGCCTCGAAAAAATTGATCCTCAAAAATTTTGGAGCACACAAATACAAATATGTGGAATACCTCATAAATCAGGGCGTAAATGAGAGCATTCTTCAAGCGCTGATGGGGTGCCACTGGCCCACAGTGCTCTAATTTATTTTAATTCCAGACCATACTTCCCCCTTAAAAAAAAGTCACTGACCCTTTTTCATGAACACTTGGTTCCAAGGACACAGAACCAAGGGAACTTGATGTGCTTGTGTTCACCTTTGAACATCTTGAAGAAGTGAGTGAGACTCAACAGCTTTGCATGGGTGAAGTGCTGGGCATTCAAGGCATCTGAGTATTTCCAGTATAAGTGATCCTTGGTCATGATCATTGGCATGTAGATGGAGGTCAAGTTGGGAGCATGACAGCTGTACTGGAGTAAGGGTGAAGGTGAGCAAAACTGGTGTGTACACATACACAATAAAATTTGGTGATTTATGGTAGTTGTGAGGATGATTAATGAGGATATTCTATCATGTACATGTACACAATAGATAAGGGGAGTAATACCATGTTGGTGTACATGGTTATCCATGCGCTGGCCCAAGCTGTAGTGTCAGTGGAGGTCCTTCCAGTTTGAAGAGTATCCATGATGGAGAAGTTGGCCATTTTGTTCTTGGAGATTCTGAAAGCAAGCATGAATGCCTGCAAACACACTAACAATGTAGTGAGGAAGCTATCTCCAATGAGCTGTAGTGTGGACAATACCTGATGATGTAAATGGTAGAGTTGACAGTGGAGTGGTTGGTTCTCCATCAATGTCCATGCACTTTTATGTCTGCAAAAAAGCTCATTGGTGGAGTGTAGTACCCAGTCCACAAGTGGCATTCAGTCCATGGTAACAACCTGCCACAATGCAGCCAAGCTTGCCAAGTGGATGGTCAAGCAACCAGAGTGGAAGAAGTGGAAGGAGAGTGACCTCAAGAAGAAGAACCTTGGTGATCTTCAAAACATGTGCACAATACATCAATAGTGCAGTTGGTTTAATGAAAGTAATGTGATTTAATCAATTATATAAGTAATCTATTGTGTACACATACACAATAGAACAACTGATATATTCTCATCATTGAAGATTGTTCTTGACTCTCAGCAGACCATACCTGAGACTCAAGAGCAAGAAGCTGAAAACAATAGCATCACCAGCTCCATTATGGAGATGTCACAAGATTTGCTTGGAGCACTAGAGGTAAGAGTGTTTGATTTCAAATGAAATGTAGTCCTTAATAAATCTCACCAATCCTGTACTTTCTTCAGGTTGATGTGACAGCCCAAACAAGACCTGCCAGGGAGGAGCATGTAACCCTGCCAACCACCATGGCCAATGATGAGGAGCTGTTGCAGCTCCTGTAGGAGGTCAGCTTTTCATGCAGAGTTCTCTCTACATCAATAAATGAGATGGGCATTCTGACAATGGAGCATCTTGTTCAAGAGCTGCCTCCCTCTCAGTGCATCCTCAAAGATGGCATGCCTGAATACAGCATCATCAACAGCAATCATCATGTTCAGACTGCAAGGTGGCTTTTCCCTGGGAAGTCTTTCAAGTCAACATTGTCCAGTGTGACATCTCCATTAATGCATCTACTCACCACTGGGATCAGCACAGGCTAACACAGATGATGGGTTACACCAATCCAAATCAACATGGTATTATATTGGTGAAACAGTGGGGTCCAACACAATGGTACATACCATTGTGTTTGTGTATGTGATAACATATGGCTCTTCATTACCCCTTACAGGCCTCTACACCATCTTCATCAGTCAATAAACAAGTCCTATACCTTCAATCCCAAGTTGCTGCTGGTCCAGGACATCACCAAAATACCAAGCTCATGGGCATGGCCACATTGCTGACAGACTAGGATGCTGTCAAGGCCTATGTCCAGATGATAGAGCATTGTAATCAGTTCTGGAAGGAGCCCTGTGTTGAACTCAAGCAGCACAACAAGACAGCCCTGTGAACTGTGTGATTGTTTGGATTCTGGTTCCTGTACATGTGCAATTCACCCAAGTACAGAAATTGCGTGCCTGAGCTACCTAGATAAGAACGTTTTGGGTACCTAAATGAATAAAGACATGTTAGCAGGCATGTTGTGCCAAGTAGTTGGGACGGGCAGCAAGAAGGTTTTGTGGTTGAGGCGTTTTTATTAGGTGAACAGTGATCACACAGCAGCACCCTCAGTGTCAAAGAGGTGCTCAGTGGTACCATTCTGTAGCTCATCAGTTCTTGCTGCAAAGTCCACTACATACCTATGTTTGTGGTCTTCATGAGCCCTCACCCAAGTGTGTGACATTTGTGCCCACTTGGTCAGGCAGACGTGGAATTGATGGTTGGAAGGGTTGTGGTGGCTGATCCTAATGTTGCTGTCAAACCTGAGAGCCTTGGAGTTGTGGGCATCAATGGTGTTGGTGACATGCTGGTTGATGGTGGTTTGCATGAGGAGGTGGGCAACTTTCACCCCCTGCTGCTGCCCAAGCCGCCATGCACAGCACATGGCCTGGTGGTCAGTTGCTGGATTCCAGCTCAACTTGATGAAGATGAGCTCAGTCACCTGCTGTAGGTTGATGCCCATGGTGCACATGTTGGTGGAGAGGAGGAGCATGCCAGGCAGGGTCAAGCTGAGGAACTGTGTGAGTTGCTTGGCATGCTTCTCAGTGGGGATGTGGCCTGATACCTCAAGGATATTGAGGTTACACAGGTGTTGCTTGTGAAGTTGGTGCCTGAGGATGGCGAAGGTGTGCAGGTGCTGCCCAAACACTGCCAGCTTCCTCCCCTCATTGAAGGTGCATTGCACCCACCTGTGGGCAAGTGATGCACAGGTAACAGAGGGCGCATTGAGCTTTATCTCAGTGGGTTTGCAGTAGGCAGCTGAGGAACATGTACCTGGCAATGTAGCTGGTCTTGGCAGAGTGTGGAAGGTCACCCCAGGTATCAGGCATTGATGGGACTGCAGGCACCTTGTGGTGGATGGCAAGGTGTGGAGGTGGACAGTTGATGCTGTTGAGCACTTCCTTGTGCTTTTCCATGTCACCAGGAGTGGCACTGGAATAGTTGGAGAAGAGTTGCTTGGGTGCCCACTTGCTCCAGTTGGCCTCCATCCACTGGCACATGGTAGGCAGGTTGCAGAAGTCCATGAGCTGCCTCTTGTCAATGGCACCAATCTGGTACAACCACAGGGGGATGGTGAACCAGCAGTGCTGAGCAACCACCTTGGTGCTCTGCAAAGAGCTTGTGCTCTGTTTCTTGGTGAGACTGCTGCGCAGAGCAGCCTGCAGATCCTTGGGGAGGCAGGAGGTGCAGTAGTACTTGCCACTCTCACCCTTTTGACCCCACCCAAAGGGGAACATCACTGCCTTGCAGGTGCAGCAGTTCAGGCTGGCTTTGAGGAGGCACAATCCCAGACACTGATGTTCATCTTTGTTGAGCTTGAGCAAGGCCTTGCCCATGATGCTGGTCCACATGTCCCACCTGAGCCCACAAGGTGGCCTCCAGTGGTTGAATGTTCTCCTGGAATTAGGCAAGGATGAGATGTGTGCATCAGCATTGGTGCTGGGCACCTTCCTCATGAGCTAGCTCAGGCGTGAGAGGTCAAGGGGCAGAGAAGGTACCCAGTGAAGGAGAGCAAAGTAGGAGGCATCATCTTGACACTTTCATGCTGCACTGAGCTGGTGAAGAGTGTGAATGAGGGTGTGAATCATCTCAGGTACACTGCAGTGCGCAAGTAGGGCCATGTCATGCATTGTGTCCTGCAATGGCGTGGAAATACATGCATGATGAGCAGCCCAAAGGAGTAGCCATCAACCAGGATGGCTTTTGAGTTGTACCTGGACTGACATCTCAGGCACCAAGCACAAGAGGCACCATGGCAGCTGCAGCAAGTGTCATCCTGCCAACATGCTGGTTCCCATGGGCACCATCTCCTTGATAGAGCTAAGGTCCAACATCAGCAGTGGCCAGTCCACCACATCAACTGCACCTCATGCATAGGCTAATTAGGAGCCACAGCAGAGGTTGCCTCACACATGTCTCAAGGCAGAAGTCACAGTGTTTGAGGGAGGCCTTGCCTCTTCACACCACCCACAAGAACTTGTGCCTCAAGATGACAACTCTCATGATGAAGCACTTGCAAGAGGTGCTTGAAGCTGAGAGGAAGGTTGCTTACTTCCTGAACATGGCAGCACACCAGCAATACAACCAGTCCAAGTGCCATGCTCTCTCTACTGCTCACACCAAGGGTCAAATCTGTGGTACCACAAACCTGCCCTGTTTCTCAACCACCAAAGCTGCAATTGTGGCAAGTGCAGCAACAATGAGCCCTGTCCCCCTGCTGATGTGTTTCTGTGTCCTGGTGCTTCCTGAGCTGGCAGGAGATGCTGCATGCCATGTGTGAGCTGCAGACTTAGGTAGACAATGACTGGCGGATGGGTACCCTACAGCGCCTTGCCTCAAGAGCTCTTATTTTGGTGGGTTTGTGCCCCTAATATGGCTTCTTCTCCTGGTGTAGGTACAACATTAATGACGCTGCCCATCTCTCCAACACTCCACCATCACTGTGAGGAGCAGGGCAACCAGGAATTCATGGTACACCTTGTCATTGCATTCCTTGTGTGTGCATGGTGGCCCTGACCTCTCACACCCTTGCTGTAGAGTGAAGTGCTCTCATCACACCTCGAGCCTGTACCTCAGCTGCAGCCCCTTCCTTCCATTGCACCACAAGGAGAGGGCTGGAGCAACACCATCATCAGCAAGGCCCTGCTCCTGCGCATTGTGCACAAGGCATATGCCAGGGACCATTGCCTTAGGTGTCACAGACCACTCTCCATGGAGCTCAATGAAGTGGGAGCAGTCACCACCAGCACCATACAAGCTGCCACCTGTGTTCAATGGTTGCTAGACTGTCAGGTACCCCCCAACTACATACCAGCCAAACCTGATGATCAGAACATGAAACACTCACAATGTACCTGTTACACAACAACATGAAGCTGTGTCAGGTGATTTGACATCAATGAGTCACATTGTTTGGGCTGCCCTTATGACCAAGTGTGGTCAGCACCAGACAACACATCTGCTCAACATGCTTGATATGCCAGGCATCCCACAAAGCTGAAGGTTCATGGTGGCCAGCCTCTGCTGCACACCACCTGCCACCTACAGTCATGGACACAACCTAACGCCACACACAACATCACCACACACAACACACAACACACAACACATGACACACAACACATGACACACACACAACACACAACACACAGAGCTACTTGGGCAGGTCGCACAGGCTTTGTCCAACAACGTCCTACATAACAATCACAGCATCTGTGGCCTGAACAGCTGCAAAGAGATACATATGTCCACTCATACCTGCTCTGAGCTCTTTCCTCATGCATGTATCATGTGTGTAGCTCCAAAAGATGTCATGCTGCTGTGCCATGCAGCACATGGTTTCCTTTGCTTTGTGTACAAGTGCAATGGCAATGATTGTGACTTACACCAATGGTTGTCTTCTCTCTCACACAGGGTTTGGTGTTCTGGATGGTGGCTGGGCAGAAACGAGACAGTCAGGCAGTTGTGTACTCATCATGAAAGACCTCATCACTGGCAAGGTATGATGACTGTTCAGCACCCCACATTTGATGGTTGTAAAGCAGCCCACTAAGCTCTCTCTTACCTTGCTTGCTCAGCTGCTTGACATAGAGACTGTCATTTGTGGACAGGACTACACTGGTGCCTTGACCAACATGGAATACACTGCTGCCTTTGAGATGGGCTGCAGATTGGCTGTGGGTGGGTGGACAGTGACATCCATCATCACTGACCATGATGGAAAGATTCACTGTGCCTTTTGCAGTGCTGGTACCTGGCTGCATACTCAAACCCTGAGCAACCAATGAACCACTGATGTAACACACCATTCAGGGCATGTTTCTGTGGCAGTGACTTACTGCGCTGGGCACCTGATGAAGAACTTTGCTAAAAGAGTGAAAGCCCTTGATGCCAACATCAAGGTACCAAAGGGAACGCCAAAGCTGGCCAGTATGTGCCTGTTCCTTCATGGTGGCACAAGTGCCCCAATGCACCTGACAGTGAGCATTGTGCACACACATCCACAGGATTTGCAGATCACTGGAAGCAGAGGTTGGTCACAATCATGGACACATGCAGCACAAAGGATGATATTCAGTGCACAGTGAATGTTGCCATGTCCCACTACCAAGGGGACCACTCATTCTGTCCACCACATGAAACTACCTCATACATCCCACCCTGCCACCACAAACATGCCATGCACAATTCTTCATTCACTCATCAACTCACACATGTTCCACAATGCAGCAAAACCAGACCCATCAAGAACAAGGACCAGGTTGAAGCCATGAAGTTGGTGGACTACCACAACTTCTACCTGCCCAGCATTACAACCAACATGTCCAAGGCTAGCCATTTGTATGCCAACCAACCAACCTACTGCCCACTGCTGATCTACCTCCACAAAATGACCTACAATCTTGCACCTTCAAGGGTTTGTCTAAATGGACAGGCAGCAAGATTATCAAGTACAGTGGAGAGGCCTTCAGGTTGCAGACCTGCCTCAGCATTCTTGAGGAAGCTTGCCCTTCATTTTGCCTACATCTCCTCACCCTTCTCAACCAAACCTACTCCTCCTCTCTTTCTTTGCAACACCACTCCTGGGATGTGACCCAGGACAACGCCAGGGAGTGGTGACAAGATCCTGCCATCAAGAAGAAGTGGATTGAGAAGAAGTGGGGCACCTCCAAGACCAACTCACTTACCAGCCTGAATCACAGAAGCGCCCAAGGAAGAGGGCACAAGCTGACAAGGCAGCACCACTACTCTATGACCACGTCCTCACCACATGCCAGTGTCCTGCCCATGAATGTGATGACCCTTTCGCCTTTGTATCTGATGAAGATGAGGTCTCCACCTCATCCTCCTCTGGTTCTGCTGATGAATAAATGTCTTGCTCTTCTTACCCCCATCCCTTGTGTTTTGCACACAGTCCATCCTACCTACCTTGATAACATGCCTTCAATAGTAAATTGTATTTCTTAGGTACCCAAAATGTTCTTATCTACGTAGCTCAGGCACCCAATTTCTGTGTCCCTACCTTAGGTATGGAAAACTCACCTTAATCAGTGCTTGGGTATGTACTGCATCACACATCATTGTGGTGCCAGCTGTGATTGCACCACCACCACCAGTGACAGAAAGATCAGGGCTCAGCAAGCCTGGTACCAGAAAGGGATTTTTAAAATTGTTTTTAAATGCATTTTAGGTACCCATTACAGCCATATTTGGTGCACCTACCTTAGGTATGGAAAACTCACCTTAACGAACTGTTGGGCGGCACGCGAGCTGCTCGCAACATTGCCATTACCAAAAAAGAGGAGAAAGTGATTCTAGAAATCTTTGGGTGTACACGATCAGCGAGTGACCACGGGTGTCTCAAATATGGATTTCGTCTTGGTCTGCATCTTGTTCTTGTGTTCTGGCGTGCCCATGGTGTGCTCCCATGTCACCCGCTTCACGCCGTTCTTGGGATCCGCGAGCGCCTTCTTGACCGGGCCCCAGTTGAATTGCACCGCCGACAGCAATCCGAACACGGGATCCAGATTGCGCATCAACCAGTCTTTCACGGCCGGTGTGGACGGGTATCCGTTGCCGTAGTTGCGATTGATGGTAATGTAGCACTCCTTGAACGGCAGATTCTTGGTGATGCCATCGCGCAGCGTCTTGGCCACGATGCTGGCCACGCTCACGATCGGGTAGTTGACGTCGGCCTTGCTCTCCACGACGATGGTGCAGATGCCGGGAAAGAGGCGCTGGAGGGTCGCTCGGTAGGTCGCACAGTTGCCCAAAGCGTCGACGTAGAGCTCGGCGAGATTGATGCCGGTGGCCAGGACGTCCCGATTGAGACCCGTGGCGGCATCGTAGGACACCTCGTTGAGGTTGCGGTTCTCGGTGTGGCTGTAGTTGGCGTTGGAGATCTCTTCGGCGCTGACGATGCGCGACCGGAATCCGACATCGGGATCTTCGAGCAGCGCCGCAAAGAGTCGATCACGTTCGGCGGGCTTGACATCCTTGGAGTCCCGATACCCGCGCTTGCGGTAGGCCTCCTGTTTGTCGACCGGGCAGTACGCGCAGGCATAGATCATGGGGCTGATGGTGGGTCCACGACCGCATGCCCATGGCGTAGGCCACTCGCTTGGCGCACTTTCACCTCTCTGTTCCATGGTGGGTGTTTGACACACAAAGAACAAAAAGCACGACTTAAATATTCCAGCATTTCGCCACGATGCCCTACAGGTACGACCCGTTTGCGCAGAGGAATCCCATAGAAGCGATTTTTTTGGTACCACCAAATGTGCGACTTTTTGTTTGCCGTTTCTCATCGGTTTGATCCAGGATTTCGCCGAGCGATACAAGCAAACAGTCGGCATCGCGTCGGCCAGTGGCCATCGCGGCCACATTCGGCTGCATGATCCTCTTCTTCGCGGCCATCGCTGTCGTCGGCACGGTGACCTGCTTGTTCGTCTCCGTTGTGCTACCATTTGCCTTCATGGCCTGCTTGTTCACAGACGGTGCGCTCAGGCCAATAAAAAAAACCCGAGGAGGCGACCGTGACAAGTTGTTTTGCACAGTGCTCTGCTGATTCCGTCGGACGTACCTAGAATTCTAATGCTCGGTCCATACCCAGAATTTTGGCGCATCCCTTTCATCGGCTCTCAAGTAGCGGCGACAACGACCTGTCGCCGCTACTTCCCCATTGCCCGTACACCGCATAAAAAGCTCGACTCAGCTCTCTGGCATAAACATTCAACAACCACGAATTATGCGGATCGCTGTTACTGCTGCCACTGGAAACACCGGCGTAGCGCTTGTGCAGGCGCTGTCCCAGGCTGGCCACCAAGTCGCAGCCATCACCAGAGACCCACTCGGCAAGGCCGCCCAAGAACTAGCGGCGCTCCCTGGCGTGGAAGCCTTGACACTAGAGGACGCCTTCAACAAGCCCGTTGACAGGTACATGATGGTGGCAGAGGGTCAAGCGTAGCCGTGCAGCTAACACATGTGATCCCTATTTCAGAGTATATCTGGCGAGCGCAGTTACTCGAGACATGTTTGTCGTGGAGACGGACATCATCAATGCTGCGCGCAAGGCCGGCGCCAAGTACATCGTGAAGCTGGCCACGACCGACTCCGCAATGCACGTCCACAGCGACATCTTCTACGCCCGCTCACATCTGGCGGTGGAGCACTTCCTCGAACAAGGCGACATTCCGTTCACGAGCCTCCGGCCGAACCTCTTCCACAATAACGTGGTTGGCCTTGACTTGGCCTCGGTGGCAAAAACGCACCAGTTCAGGACCATGGCTCATGGCGCCTCGGTGGCTTCAATCGACCCCGCTGACGTGGGGAGGGCTGCGGCCGCACTCTTGTCCTTGGACGACCCTTCGCCCCACTACGGCCAGAAGTACACGCTGACCGGACCTGAGAATATCAACGATCAAAGGTTAGCTGTCACCCAGGTGCCTGCCGTTTATCTGTTTCTTTGGCTCAATGTATACTTTCTCTTGCAGCGTTGGTGAAGTGCTTCGGGAGGTGCTGCAAACAGACGTCAAGTTCGCAGGCGGCGTCAGGGACGACGAGTTCCCGGCCCTTTTTCTGGCGGCCCTCGCCAACCTGAAACAGGGCAAAGGCGATCTGGCACACACAGCCACCTCTCCGGAAATTCTGGCTCTCGCCCCACCCAGAAGCACTTTCAAAGACTATGTCACCCATTACTTTGCTAAGCGCGTGTAAGCTTTGATCACTGGCCAGAATTACAAACCATTAACAGTATTCTTGGACACATAAAGCTGCTAGCGGCACAGTTGCGGTTGCGTGACCGAATCGAGCTGGAGGTTGGGTTGTGAATAAATGCGCTCACTATCGTTTATCCATGCCTGAGGCCGAAAGCGGTTGCGCAGACCGACCAAGCCTAAATGCCCTCCCATACATTCTCGCCGCCGGGCTTTTCGTGCACGAGCTCCTTGGTGGTGTCGGGCTCCGTGTAGGGTTCGAATTCTTTGGCGCGCAGGTTCTTCAGTTTGGTCGCATTCCAATCGCAGTTGGCGTGGCCCGACGCTTTCTGAGGTTGGCTTCATAATGTCAATCGACCAGAGCTTGCCTTCCGGATTGCATCTGTGCGCGTGCAGGGGCGAAGATGGAACCATCAGAACAGTGCAGTTCCAGGGTCTTGGTGAGAGATATGTTGGATGGGAGTTCAGATTCAGTGTTCATGGCTGGTGTGAATGGAGAACGAAAAAGTGGATTGTGTTTGTTTATTTATGAGGATCAAGATCTTTCCACATGGTGTCTGTCATTTTAGGTGGTTTGTCCACGCTATGTTGAGGTGCTTGAAGGCCAACTGTTCTGATGGTGTGAGCTTGAGATGGTCATTAGGACAACAATCATTAGGACATCTCAACAATCACCCTGGATTCAGGGTGTCCTTTGTTGTGTTCATTGCAGAGGAACCAGCAAGGGTCCTTGATGTAGTACATATGCTCAGGCATTTCATTGCCCAACAGTTTGAGTTGGGCTTGTGTTTCATGCTGCATGCCCTCCAACATGTGTGAGACCACATTTTTGGCATCCTTGTGTGTCATTGTGAGCTCCAGTCATGTGCTTTTGAGTTGCCAGATCTCTTTCTTCAGCTGCACAAGGTTGTTTGTGGTATGGGCATATTTCTGAAGCCTTGCCTTCTTCTTGATTATGTGCACACTGAGCTGGTTGATGTGGGCACTCATACAGTCCAACATGGTGGCCACAAAGAAGAAGAATGAACACTGCACTCTTTATTGGTCCAGGAAATGGTGGTGGTGCATCAACTCACCTCATCCAGTACCACAACTTCTTCTCAACCTTCGCCCTGCTCCTCCATCTCAACCTCCACAGCATCAGCTCCTAGCACCCCTGCGCAGGTATTCAACCATGCCCTTTTTTTGTTGTGTACATGTATGTGATGAAATATATCACTATCAACAGCAGTCCCAGCCCTCCACAACCCCACACTCAGAACCATTGCACAAGAGAAAGCAAGATCATGAGGATACTGACACCCACACCCACAGACACAGCACTGCCCACTGACAAACAAAATCACTTTTCAAAATGACTGGACCTCTCTTTTCAAATGTCTGTTGCTGCATTGCCTAAATGAGGAATTATGTCTACACAAAGGACTTCTTGACAAGACAACTCTGGGGGTATAAATTAGGCAGTGTCTCTGTTTTTTCTTTTTTTTGTTGTTCCCCCCAATGTACACCATGTCAACTGTGCAACCTTGTCCAATGAGTTGTTGTTGTCTGGCTGCCCAGCTTGAAAAGCTTAACAGGAGCAAGGAGGAGAGGAGTGAGGAGGAGAGGAGTGAGGAGATGATTCCAAACATCCACACCATGTGTGGATTGGTGCATCCATTGATGGTGGAGAGTGGCAGGGGCCAGATCATCAAGTATGTCTTTCTGTGCATGTATCTCTGCATCATCCAGTATTCCTTAGAGCAGGGGAGGTGATAAGTGGATTCTTCTGCAGGGAGTGGTAGTTTGGCAGTGACCTGAAGTTGGCTCTGTAGAAGGGTAGTGTGAGTGCTGAAATGTAAACACAAAATTTATATGCTCCCAAGGCGACCACACTGTCAAAATATCTAAAACCTTCACTGGTCTGGAGAACTCACATGGCATCATTGAGTACATCCTTCTTGGGCTCAAAGTCTACAACAACATAGCACCTGCCAAAAGTATGCATCTCTTCTCTTGCCTTGCCAGCATTATGCCCACATCACTCATACCCCACTTCCCCAGAACGGTTCTGTGCCCTCATCACTTCCCATTGGAGTGACTGAAGGGCACAGATGGACGCCTTCCAGGCTGCAGAGGCAGCAGCAATTGAAGCCACCTCCTCAAGGCAAAGGAACTGGCACAGATCTGGAATGCATCTGCCTTGCCAAGTGCATCACACCTGATGGCCATACCATCAAC